CATTCAGAGATCGGAGGAGAGATCAGCTGGTGGAATGTGCTGATCTCCCATCCAGTTCAGCCACAGAGACCAGCCGTACTGATCGTAGGCCCACACGGAGGGATAGCTGGGGCGGGGGGTGTACACTTCCCGCACTCTTCCCTTATCCTTCCCATACCATACAAGCGTTGAGGCAAATCCCATTAGTTATTGCAAGACTCTGACGGCCACAAGTATGACTCCTAGAGGCAGATGCATAATGCGATTTGTAGTTTTACCAAAGCTGGCCGGAGTTTTGCCTAGAGTGGCTTTTGTTTTTCTTTTCTTTTTTTAGTAGATAGCATGTTTATTGCTCTCTGCGTCCCAATTAAAGATTTAAGACCACTGCATTATAAATCTGATATTCCAAGCCTTCCCCAAAAACATTTGACTGGAGTTGCACTTTAAATGGGCGTCCTCCAGTATCTAGGCTGCACTTGTCTTCCAGATTGATCGGCAGGGGGGAGGATCAGCTCAGATTTTACCCAAGGGCCCCTAGGGCTTCAGCGGAACAACTGCAGGGATCTGAGCCAATTTACGGCATAGTAACTCAAACCCCTATTGATTGCATTGAAGCCATTTAATTTCTATGAAGAGTGCAGCACATGATGGGATGTGGTGGTAGTAGAGCAAGCTAGAATGATATTCAGAATTGTGCGGTATTCATCGCAACCCTTCTTACTGTTACCTAATGCATATTTAATCACAAATATGTTTGCCCTTGTTCATACTATTACAAACAAGGATGTGTTAAGTACTACATATCCTGCCATTAGCTCTACCCTTGAATTTTTCCTCCAGTGATCCTGTTACAGCATCTGCCTTGACAGACTCCACAGGCAAGTTACAAGGAACTTTGAAGCAGTCTGTTACTGTCACAAGGACAGCCTGTCAGATCTGCATGCCATATGCCTTTCTGACTATTCTTTGATACCATGTAATGGCTGCACTTGAACCTGTTTGTGAATAATATACATATTTCACCTTATGCTACTGCTTGCTCATTTCCTATTTAAATATTTTGTTCCCTTAGTGCAGATGGAAATGATACATGAATGCATGAGTCTGGTACGTAATATCTTTAATCAAAAGATCCACAGTGACCATTGCAAACACAAACTATACTGACGAGGTGCACTGCACTCAGACCTATTTATCATTTAAAGTGGAACTCCAACCAAACTATTTTTTTGTTATATGTGTTCGAAAGACATTCCCTAATTTCCTGTACCAGCGACACAATCTTTAGGACATGTGTTAAAGTAGATGTAAACCCTAAATGAATGACATTGACTTTAATAAAACATTGTGTATTATTAACCTTTGCCCTAGACTTTTTTACCTATTTTTTTACATGTGTTGTTGGATTTCAGTGCTGCTAATCTCCCTGAGCCTCTCTGCAGCCACTTCCTTTCTATATAACTAAGCCCCAGTAATGGCTGCATGACAGTACTCAGGGCCAGTTTCCTGATGGTGACTACAGTGGACCATGCCTGGGTGATGTGTTCTGAAATAACCACTTCACATCACTAGCAGGGTTATTCACAAAAGGGTTAAAGGTTTGGAGAAGGCAGTAGAAGTGAACAATCTAGGACAACATAGATGAACTGCAAAGTGAGTCGAATTGCAGAATTTCTCCAAATCAGCTATTTTGGCCTAGATTGTTCACTTCTCCTGCCTTCTCCAAACTCTTCACCCTTTTGTGAATAACCCTGTTGGTGTTTTTTTTAATAAAAGCTGCAGATTTAGAAATATTGAAAATTACTTTTGAAACTATATGAACATGCTTAAGAGTGTATGAGATGAAAGAGATCAGGTTTGCATATACCCTAAGTGGAAATCTCTCTTAACAGAAACATAATAGCAATAATACCACCTTTTTTGGGGGGCAGGGATGGGTTTGGGTAAGAAGGGTTAGATCCTAATCAGCCTTTTATTGCTGTGTTTCCACTTGGCCGCAGACAGCAATACAAAGTTGACAGAAGATGTAATCCTTTCCACTCTACTTAAAAAAAAAGGTTATGGATGGAGTTGCAATTCTGCTCCAGTTGGCGTAATCATGTTTGACTGTTAGACTCTGTTCTCTTTGGCCCAGATACATCAGAGCAAAAGAGATAGTAGACTAAATCATGTGTCAAGAGGCTGCAGTTCCACCAAGAATCAGCATATGGAGAGCACAAAGCAATAAAAATACACCTATGTGTTTTAATGCGCATTAACACATCTACATACAGTAGTTTAGTTATTGTTTTAAATTGTGCCAGTTCACATCTCTGAGATCTTTGTGAGCTTTGATGTCATTGTCCATTTTTTAATGCTTAAACGTGCATTATAGAGCCAATGGCCAACAGTGGCAGTTAATGAAAACACATAATTGTTCACAACCTATTGTAAAAACGCATGAAAATACACATGGGTAGGTGGTAATCCAATCTTATGACCTGTGTCAACAGGCTTTGGGTTTGTGTTGATGGCATTAGTTTGAGAGCACCTGAGTTCATTCAGAATTCATTAACATTAGCAAGTCAGAAGGAGATGACCTCCTTCTGACTTGCATTTGACCTGCTTAAAGCAGGGTTTTCATTCCCATATACTTGTATGGGAATGCAAAACCCTCTTGAAGTGAGCAAAAGCCGGTTGATACAGGCCCTTAAGGTTTGCTTAGTTGCAGTTTACTGACTGAACTTGCATGGAGTTGACCTTACCTGAAGGGAGATGGCTCATTTCATAGTGGAATTCCAGACAAACAGCTACACTGACACTTGAAATACATATGCTTATTCTTTTATCTGCCAAGGGATTTGTAATTATTTACAACCAATCTTATGTTTTACACACCTCTGCCATGCTAAAAGGCTACCAAATCACTCTTACTTTCTGCATAAGCTTTGGCATTTCCTGGTTCAGCTTGTCGTCTCCTAATTCAACTCTCTGTTATTTTTAAAGAGTTGCTTATGCTTCTTCACTATCTGATAAGGCTGAAGGTGACAAATAATACTGCATTGTGCCTCTTCTGGGTGTGGCTTGGCAAGTGACTCACTCCACCTTCAACATCTCACAGTGTTGGGTATTTTGTGATTGGCACATGAAGCTGGAGAAGTAGTCCATAGCCCTGTGTAAGTTCAGGCATTAGATTTCTGTTTATGCTTTCTTCTCTTGGTGCCATCGGGTGAATGTAGTGGCCCACATGATGATAGAAAAGGTGCACAAAACTTTGAGCTCAATGTACATTTTTATCCTGACCACCTGATGCAATTTAACTGGTGTTTTTGTACCAGACTCTGTCTATTGAGAAAACCATTTTTTTTTGGTCACTGTCAGGGTCTGTATACAGTTATTTATGCATAGTCACAAAATTCCATGTGCCGGTTCCCACCTAGCAACAATAAAAAAAAGAACTGTACCAGAATGGTCTTTATAGTATAGCTGGCTTTAAAAGTTATGCATTTAAACACATAACTAAAGCTGCTGGAAGGAACTGGATGATTGAACATCCGCCTAATCTAAAAAGAGTGCCATAACATGCCTAAAGTAGTTACTGCAATGGTAAAGGTGGAGTTCTGTTTCATTTAAATATGTTTCATTTAAATATAACCTCTATTAAGTATTTCTAACTAGAAATGAACTAGAAGAAAACAGGTTTTTTTTTGTTCCTTTTGAGGAGATTTGTCACTGAAAATGTGTCATATGTCTAACACTCCTCTTGTGGCTAGCTGTCAGGCCTGTGACCCCACACCTGCGCAGGTACCCACACGGGCAGACCAAACATGTGCGACCACACAGGACAAGGCAGAATGTATGATACACCGTTTTAATATGCCAACCAGAATAATACAAACAGAAACAAGTCTTGGCAAGCAACTACATCTAAACAACACCACATGCAAGAAGTAACAGGCAAGCAAACCCAGGGAGCAAAGCAAAACACCAGGGGAACTAAGGGACAAAAGGTCAGGGTTCAAGGAGCTAACAGGACTCAGGAACATAAGCAGGTCATGGTTTATGGACAACAAGCAGGGAACATAAACAGGATACAGGACTCGGGAACAGAAGCAGGTTACAGGACTGGGGACTCAGGCTTAACAGGAAACAATACTGAGCCACAGACCTGACTGCGGGGAGGGCTTAAGTAACCTCCCAGGGAGCACCAGGTGGTGGATGATTGGTGGCGGCTGGGAGACACCTGCAGGTGAGCACTGGAGTTGCAGCTTCCAGCACCACCCAGTGGAGGTCTGGTACCTAGCAGTTCCTGTCTGCCTGGAGACCCCTGCAGGTGAGTACGGAAACTGCAGGGCTTAGCTCCAGCGCCACTTAGAGGCACTCTGGATCCTAACACTAGCCTACTCTGTATGAGTCTGGGAGGTATCAGAGGTTTTCTGATTCTAGTAAATAGGGAATTCTTCTGACACCCTCACTACACAGTCAGAACTGTACACTACTGAAGAATTTGGCATGGGAATCTTCTCCATGAGGTCACAGAGGAAAGAATACTTGTATCATTTTCTTTATACATGCAGCAACATTTACTGGACTTCTGTCTATTTTTTTTATATTTTTTTTACAGAAAGTAATTTCTTGTTCCGACACTTCCAATCTGATATTCTGACACGTTGGCAGGGGAACATTGCACTAGATCCTTCTGAGACCTAATGTAATGTTTTCATTTGGGACCTAATTAATTGACTATGTATACTATGTAACACATATTCTCACAGGCTTGTGCTGTGGAATGCCAATGGCGCAAAAAATACACCCTTAGATTAATTTATTTCTCTGGCAGGAAAAACTTTCAGTGTTACCTTCCATTGGATTCTTCCTTCAGCAAATTATCTGTGAAACTGCCAATGAGATAACTTTGGTAAAGAAATCTTTAATTGTCCAGTTATCTTATTCTCCACTTGCTGTATATTATTTTAATACATTATCATATCTGTCAAATCATCAGCATAGTCTAACCTGTATTTGTTTTTTAATTTGATTAGGCTGGAGCATACAAGCCTCTTTGAAAAGAATCTAGCTGCTACTGAAGATATGCATTCTAAATTACAAACCAACATAAAATCAATTCATTTTTTAAACCAGAAGGTAAGATCCATTTTGTCTCCATTCAACACCATTCATTTAATATTTTTCTATTAGATACGATAAAATAATAGAATTCAAAAAATAAAAGTGTTTTGTTCTCGGGACTCATTTACAAAAGCTAAATTAAAAAAATAAAAACTGCAGTGTTATCTATTGGGGCTAGTAAAACCGTTACTTGCAATGACCATGTCACCGCAGAGTCCCCGCAGAGTCCCCGCAGAGTCCCCGCAGAGTCATTTGAAAGAAGCATGGACTATGAAAGAACATGTATACTCACCATTCTGCAGTCTGTATCTTCAAACAGCACCACTTTGTTGCTCCCTAGCTGCTCCAGGTATTCCACACTTATGGCAGCATTGAATACTTGCTGCCTAGATGCACGCTTTGTTTTCTTCTTCCTGTAGTGATGTACAAGCAGATGAAAAGAGATACAGCATGTGGTACGGGATGGGTTGGGTGGACGGCAGGTAGGTATTCATACAACCCATGTGCAATGTGTGCAGCAGCCCCATAACTTATTTTCAAGAAGGAATATTTTAAATTCTACCGCCCATGTCTCCCAGATCAGCCACATGAGCAGCAATGAACTTCCATCAGTGGTGACAACTCTTCCACTCTTCTGCTTTTGAATCAACATAAAGCTACCTGTGATATTTGAAGTTGGAAAATATACTTCCACACATTTCTTGCTAAGCTCAAGTTCCACAGTGACTAGCTATCACTGAATTAGTGGGCATATACGGGTGTATTTAACAAGGTAGAGTTCAAGTTGAAGTAATCCAAAACCGCCCATCAGAAATCATCTTTAATTGTTCTAATAAAGAAAAATCTGGTTTCTGTGGTTTACTGCATTTCACACATGATATGTGCTCTTTGCATTGTCTTGTTAAATAAACCTATAAGCATGCCAGGTAGGGTATAGATGAGAAACAAATGATTTGAACTGCAAGTCATTTGGCATAAAAAAAAGAGAAATCTAGCTCTGCACACTGTCATTATTCACCTAAAACAGTGCACTACTATGCTGAGATACAGTAACACATCTGACAGCTACAAAGCGCCCTCTGTACACTGCAGCGGCAATAAATTTCACGGTTTATGCTAACCTGTCAGCAAAAGTTTAGATTTCTTTTCACAAACTTTTTAAATTCCATATCCTCCAGTGTATAGATCAAAAGAATATCTTACATTTCTTATTTCAATATTTGATATAATAAAACAGAAATTAATTCCCCTTTGAATCCTTAACTGAATAACAAAGCATGTTCTGTGTCATAATTTAAAATTGCACGCTGTCTTGTTTTAATACACGTATTTTGGTTGCTAAGATCCATAAGTAAATCTGAAGACTTAGAAGGCACATATAATGATGGCATTTTATCTTGGGCAGTACAAGAATTGTTTTTTTGTACATAAGGTAGTTTTATTTATTTTATTTTTGAAGAAAAGGAACAAAAAAATGCGCAAGTCATATTGATAGTGGCTGATCATGAAAAGAAACCCCAGGAGTATAGGCACACTATAAAAAGCTCTTTCAGGAAGTCATTATGCTGTTGAGGGAATAAGAAAGTTAAGTCAGAGAGTTGTGAAATGTTCTCATTATGGGTCATCTTGGTAATTATCTGACATCTACAGATGGAGTCACTTCTTAATCAAAAGAATGAATCATTACTGATATTGATTCAGACCAAGATGTTTGAAATAATGAGTGTAGTAACTCAAGTATAAATTCAGAGGTAATTTTCAGCAACTTCTCCACTGAATTTTCATACTAAATAATAATGAAATATCTCATTTCATTTCCTGCTAATAGTTGGAAAATGGCCATGCCACTGGAAACTAAATTGTCCCTGCATAATCGGCATGCTCAACGCTAGCAAAAAAGAAGGTCGCTGATATTTACTGTCTCATTGATAGCAAGCTATAATTACCCCAGCTGCTTGCAGGCCAGCTTTGCGGTACTTAATAGCAAGCACTATTGTTTTTAGACATAAAACAGTTTATGTGATCATTAGAGGCTTAATGTAAGCAACAATAGGACCGAACATCTGAAAGCCCACGGTTCAGGAAGGCACTCAGTTTCTTACAGCACTTGTCAATCTTTGGTGTTGAATTTTAAGAGGGATTTCAGATGTGTAGCTATCGGGATTTATGTGGCATTTTATTATTTTTCAAATAGAAATGGAATTGCAGCTTTCCTGATGTTGCCTGCAGCTCATTAATGAGGTGGTAATTGTTGTATAAAGCTTTACAAGATAATATAGATTATTATCTATGAAACTGTAGCAATGGCCACACAAGATTGTGATAGAGTGTGTATGAAGTGGCTAATCTTAATGCAGTCACCGTCTCTTAAATTGAAACTCCAGCATTACAAAGGGCAAATGTATTTACAAATGTTATTTTTAAGATTAGTGCCAATTGAGTGTTATAACTTTTACTGTAAACATATGTGCCAACTTATGTTTATAAGAGAAATTGCCTCTTTGGCATCCCTTGTGTTGACATTTCAGTCTTGTTCTTTAGATCAACAGGATTGTGATTTCTTCTTACATCTAAGGTAGTGCAGGGGATGCCACTTGTGATACAATAACTGCAGTGCAGTTTTCACTTTACAGATCACAGGGGAACAGAGATTTTGCAAATACTAATAATAACCCAGAGGTTTGTAGTGGCCAGCGCTTTTCAGTAATTCTCACCTTGGGGATTATAGAAAAAGTGGACCTTGAGTAAAATTTAGCATCATTACAAAAAAAATCATACCTACATAGCTTCATACCAAATGGCTTGTCTCATGGAGACACAGATAACAGGAGGATAAGTTGGCGTGTGTCTTCTTTAAAGTGTATTTCAACTTTTGCAGTCAAATTTGAGAAAACCTCTCTATAATTTCGTAAACAATTCGTACCCTTTTAGATGTTTTGTTAAATTAGGCAAATTGGCTCATTCCAGGTTTTTCTCAGCCCTTTCACAGTGGTCTGTCCTAATGGAAAGACTTGGGACTGAAATTTCAGGATTGTGTTTATCTGATGAGCTTCATTAACATACAGTGGACAAGCCAATTCAGATCCGTCACAGCCCCTCCTAGCATTGCAAAGAAATAGAAGCAAGAAGAAATGTTAAGCCTTAAAGCCCTAAACCAATTAAAAGCAATTTAAACTGCAAGGAGCTTTTTTTATTTTTGTTTTAGCTTATGCAATGTCAATATGAACATGTAACAAATATAACATTGGTGTTATACCAATTGGGTTGCTAAAGTGTAAATACACTTTAAGGTTAGATTGGTAAAAATGAGCTTACTCATAAAAATGAGCTCCACTTGCTGGCTTAAAAGAGTATGTGTTAAATACCTATATGCAATATTTTGTTTACTAGACAAAAAAGATGATTTTGTTCCCTGAATAATGTAAACAAAAATGCTGCACATTATTCTTTAACTGTTTGGCTAGTCATCGTCTTTAAAGATAAACAACATAAATTACAAATACATTTAAGTTTTTACTGTGGCAGGAAGTAAAGCGCTTCCCTGGAACCTTGTATAAAGTGTGAGCCATTAATGTGTAAATTTACAGTTGTGTCTCACCCAGACTGGCCGTTGCAAAGTGATAAATGGAAGTGGAAATTGTCTTGCAAAGATGAATAGATTTGGTTTTAATTCTACATAAACATATGTGGCACTAAACTTGATTCCAATTATGACTATTTTAAAGTTTCCGAAAAGGGAAGGGAAAGTATTCAAATCGAGCACACTAATCATGTCAAATACCTAGAAAGCTTTATGAACTACACATTATTGTCCATTATTCCACAGATGAATTTCAATGACTTGTATTTTATCATTTTAAAACCAGGGAATGATCTTTTAATTAACACTCAAATTGCTAAATACAGCATTTCTGTTACAGCTAATGACTAATCTTTACTTCTCCCTATGATTATTACAACCATTTTAAAAACTCTAACATTATCAAATCCTACAGCAAAGGCTGGCGATATCTGAGTTATTTTGTCTGTAAAAGATTTCTCCATAGTATATGGAATACATCTTTTGTACATCTAAATCCACTGCTTTATTGTGCACTCATGGATATGAATAGATAAATATTTTTAAATACAATAAAAGCATAACACACTTCACATATAGAGTATTCTATAATAGTAAATAGTGTGAACCTGTGCTGGCAAGCGTGCTGGCTATTTTTAGCGCACTTAACTTGAAATGCTGATTTCCGTTACCGCCAGGGTCACTATCTGCATGCAGTAGACAGGATCTCCAGGTAAGATCTAGCAAATTAGCAGGCCAAATACAAGCTGCATCACATACATAACTGTAGTGTTAAAGTTTACAGTCTCTGTAAAACAAACTGGGAGATGTGTGTAGGCACTTTTCTACCTTAACAGCTACAAGGTTTGAATTCAGGAAACAAAAAACAGCTTAGATAAACCAATGAGAGCTGTCTTTCCTGTGCTTCATGGACAAGTACAAGCCTGGCCACAGGTTCACTTTAAAGTGCCTCTAGCTTCAAAAAGACAAACATTTTTCTTTAATAAAATAGAACAGATATTTGGTATTTTTAGTATCAGTGATTACAAACTAGTGCATGTTTCACACAGCAGAAGGTTGCTAAGGGTAGTCATCTTGCTTTCAGGAGATCTCATGCAATTGTGCTTATCCAGTGGTGTTTAATGTGGTGCTGAGAAGATTGGTATGCAAGGTAGTCCAGATACCCAGGGTCCCACAACACCTCGTGACCTTGACTGATTTTACTGCAGCACCTATAAGTCCTATGTCAAAAAGGAAACTGACAATGGTCATTAGCCCCTCAAGTAATGATTGGTGCTTTTTTTTTTTGCATGTCAATTTTTTTATTGTGATAAAAGTACAGAACAAAAATAAAAGACATTGGTGTACAATATTTTTTTCATTTGTGATACAAAAGCGTCCTTGTTGTTATGATTGGTGCTTTTACATTTTATGATAACTGGGTTATTTTTTTTTTATAGCAAAAAAAGTTTTTTGTAAAACAGGGGAAGTGCTCAGTTAATTTAGCTCAGTTGGCTAGTTAGGTGTGCTATATACAAAGGAAGATAAATGGTCTGATAAGGAAATCCAGCATTATGACACATGCTTGCTTGAAAATCTTTTTCATAGCTTGGTTCAAGAAAAGGAAGTGACATACTATTTGTTTGTTCATCTGTACTTGCTTCAGAAAGTTATAAAGACACAACTTAACCCATTCTCACCCACAATGCCCTGTGCCTAGGATACGTTAATAAACATCAACCCCATGAGAGCCAAAGGCTGGTACTTTGTGTGTCAATGATAGCCGGGCTCCCCACTGGCAACTGGTAGCCAATTAGAGGAGTTCCCAAATAATAGTTCAGCTCTGACATAATGATCATATGCAGGCTGAAGGATCCATTGACATGAATGAAAGCCTTTATCCTGTATATTACTGCCATGCTCTTGTTGCTGTGTTCATCTGTCAAGTAATCTTTACATTTATTTTTTCTTTATTAAAACAGTGTAAAAAAAAAACCTTATGTCCTTAAAATATGTATAAAAAGTTTAGGTGTACAATTTAGTGATAGGTTTTTAGGTATACATATTTTCACAAAAGATTCACAGCTTTCACCTATGTTTCACACATTATTTAATTTGAATTCAGCTGGAAAATGTGTGAATCATGGTTAGAGTTGTGTAAATATTTTGTAATTTTTTTTATAAACAGATCCCTTTGCATTGTCGTTCGGTAAACCAGCATATGCTGTCATGGCTAAATTTTGCCAGAGCATCTAGACATCAATGGCCTCTGGGTTAATGGCAGGGTTGGGACAACCCACATTATTTATAGATCTTGAATGGTATCTTGGAGGAGGATTAAGAATAGAATGAGTGTTTCTTACTGGAAGAACTTTGTTCCTAGGCTCTAATGAGGGTGTGTAGGCTCATATGGCTATTAACAGAGTGTATATTTCATATGTTTGATACAATGAGTTGGAAGAGCTTGATACTGTATAAGGAGATGGAAATGGATAGTACAAGGAGGAAGCAGAAAGGGGGAAGAGTCCAAAAGAGAAAGCACAGAGAAGCTTAGAGGAATATGATGATGCAATATGCATTAAAATAACTCTCTAGGCATCCACCATTAACTACAACCTCCTTCACTTATGGCTGGAGATGGGCTTTATTAGTGTCCAATGTATGGATACATACTAATTAACATATAAAGTACTGTATATACTACTGCGTTGTTATGCGTATATATTCCTTATGGTCTTTTTTCACTGTTTTGATATTTAGATGTTCCTGAATTTTTTTTTTATAAATACCATAAAGTTGGTTATTTTATAACACTATAACAAAGATTATTTTTTTAATTAGGACAAACTGTTTTCTTATTTGAGGCCTACAATATTAAAACACATGTTCTATTTCTAATAAAACGTTAAGGTAAACCAGATAATCATTCTTTCTTCCTCTAACCCAGCTAAATGAATTAGGCCAAGAAAATGGATATTTGCGGCAGCAGTTGGAAGATGGGAAACTGAGATGTCAACAGTATGAACGCCATTTAGAAACCTGCAATCAGACTCTCTCTAATCTTTTCACTCATCTGAAAGTTATACAAGAACAGAGAGATTGCCTCCAAGAAAAGACTAAGAATGTTGTATCCTGTAGCCACAACATTGTGCCACCATTAACCACAGGATCTCATGCACAGCTTCAGATTTTTTCCCAAAAGGGAACAGTAAATGGGGAATCAGAAGAGTTAGTGTTAAAAGATTCATTCGAGAAATCATGTCGGACACATTGCACAGAACATTCTACTCCATTACAAGACAACACAGAGTACTGGATGGAGAAAATGAATGGCTTAATGTTACAGATACAACAGTGTATTGGAACACGTGTAAAGTGAAAGGTGAACCTTTCTAATCATATAAATTGTTTAGTGAATTCACATTTTAACTGACATTCATTTTGACATTCTGAACCTTCAGCTATATGACAAATGTTTGTTTCCCCACTAGAGTTTCATTCATCTGGAAAACTTCTTAGAATTTTTTTTCAAACACTGTGGATAGATGAATTTTCTATAACAGAATGATTTTTTTTATATTAATGATTTCTTCTCTTGGCAGGGATGCTTAAAAATATTCTCTTTTTCAATACTTTTGGTTGAGGGGCAGTTCACTTATACATGTAAATCAGCTGTTTTTTTCATCCCTTTATTTTAAATTTGTGGAAAAGAAAGTGAAGAGTGTCAGTCCATATTGTCAGTAGTGTATCTCCTTGTTAGCCTAATATTCTTCCTTACTGCAACAATATAAGGTTGATACACATGAGGGCCTTTTGGTGCATTAGACAACCTATTCAAATGAATGGGCTGCCATAAAGAAGAATTATCGCCAGAGTTTGAAAATAACAAAATCGCCAGGGGACTAAGTGCACATCACACTTGCCCCCATTATAATTTATGCTGCGTTTTGTGTCTGTGCTGGCTGCAGCTCCTCCCCAGGCTGTAGCCTAAATTATGGGTGTTCCTGTGGAGATGTTACAGCCAGCACCGTAGCCCTGACCCCCTCTACAGCCCCTTATGTAATATTGACACCCAGGGGCATCTCTTCTAGTTTACTTGTACTAAAACAGCCAGCTTGACTGAGGACAGACCTGCCTGCCTGCTATTTTGGAGAAGAGAGACTTAAGTAGTAACTGTAGGCTTGTTTTGTTGCGCATGATGGTGAGGAGCACCGTCATTCACAAAACTACAAGCCCACAATAGCACATGGCAGATACTACACTTGTTCTAGAGAGACTAGTGTAGTATCTGTCTACTACAACTGCCATCATTCACAGCAAAACAAGATGGTTCAACTGCATCTATATGTTTAGGAAGAAGGATAAAATGCTTTGCAGGATATATTTTCCTTACCTCACTGCAGCATAGAGATGACAACAGACCTGTTGATTTTTATGTTCATTCTATGTTTGCTTCAGTTTCCTTTGTAGTTGGCTGCATTATACTTAGATGTAAATGAAGCTTTGTGCAAGAAAATCTTTTCAGTTAGTTACTAACACATAAACATTTCTAGCCTTGAAATATTGCAAATCAGTATTGCTAAAACATAGGCTAATTTTGTTATTCTGTATACTTAGTTTTCTCTTGTGGGCCTGGATTCATGTTTTAAATAATGTAGCAGTATGCATAATGTAAATATAATGCTAATTTATTGATGTAATTTATTTCAATATTTTAACAAAATAAAGGAGACAAAATTGCACCATTGTTTTCATGTATGTTTGATTGAATCCTATAATGCTAGAAAGCAAGTATCCATTAGTAGCTACAGGGTGCAGTGATGCTAGAGTAAATTAGCTATCACCTAAAGCTACTGGGTCTAGTTGTTTAATATATGTGGAACTAAATTGTCTTCTCTGATGAGTATCAACATGCAATGTGTCATTTTCATTACGAAAATGTCACCTTATTTTTTTGTTCATTTTTATTCTGAAAATGGTGTTTTCAATTAAAATCTGAATGATATATTTTGTTATGTTTTTGTGTTTCATCATTTTACAGTCATATGGATTAGCAATAATTAGGATATCCTGATAGTATGCCTTGAAGCTACTTCAGTTTTATCACCATAGAAGTCTGTGTGTCACTCTAATCAACTGTTACATTTGGTATTGATATTTGATTTGTTGGCATTTGTTCAACAATTTTGTCACACTTTTTGCTTGCCTTTTTCATTTACCGGTTTCCTGTGTGGCATTATATGTTGATGGACGTAGAAAAAATGTTTGCAGCTGACTATGTGAATTTGATGTTGCCTTTAGCAACCCAGTTTAGTTTAGAAAATTAAAGCAACCATGGATTGGTTAGGGAAACACTAGAGGAAAATTGTCTTAGTAAAGATTCATCTGCATGGGTCCTTTGTTTTCTGCCTGTGTTCTATTTGGACTGAGTTTATTAACCTCCCTGGCGGTATGATTATGTCAGGAATTTTGTACCAAAAGCAGTACAATAGTTTGATACATAAGTGTAATCATAGCAGATTACATTGCATTGTGTGTATTCCATGTACATTACAACTTTTCACTTTTGAATTTCCCGCCTCCTGTGACGCCCGAAAACGAAACTAAAAGTCAGAGGCCGGCTTTTAGTTTCATTTTCGGGCCGCGTACAGCAGAGGACGCCGCAGGATCGCAGGGACAAGGTGAGTGTCACTATTCTCTGCAGCTCCGAGTCTGGCGCGGGTTTACCGCTCCTAGCATTAAAAATTCAACCCGAGCCAGACTCGGGATTACCGCCAGGGAGGTTAAAGTACTCAGATAAAGAGCTAAAACAGCAGAACCTATTAAATTTATTCTGTGAGCTGTGCATGTTATGGAAGAGCCCTGAGATCACACAGGTGTAAAAACAAATATTGACTTGTAAACTCCAAATTTAGGCTTAAAACTTTAACAGGGCTATTCACAAAAGGGTGAAGAGTTTGGAGAAGGCAGGAGAAGTGAACAATCTAGGCCAAAATAGCTGATTTAGAGAAGTTCTCCAATTTAGCTCACTTTCCAGTTCAGCTATGTTGTCCTAGATTGTTCACTTCTCCTGTCTTCTCCAAACTCGTCACCCTTTTGTGAATAGCCCTGTTAGTTTGGTTTAAACATTGCAATCTTAAAGGAGAACTATGAGGTGAGTGCTTTTCACTAATCCTCACAGTTCTAGCTGACCTGTGACAATGAAACTGTCACAGGTCGGCTCAGTAGATCAGTAAGTGAGCGAACACATACCGGCGCTCGTTCACTTCTCGATCCTGTCATTGCAGAGAGCCGTGACAGGGGAGGGGCTGGATTCCCCCCTCCCCTCTCCGATCCTCCAGCACTGACTGGCGGAACGAACGGGGAGGGGGCGGGTACAGCTGGCTCTGCCTTTAGATAGGCATAGCCAGCTGTCACTCATGCAGCTGGGCAGATCCAGACATAATTGTTGGGATCCGTTTCAGCTGCGGCATCTCAGTATACCGCAAGCTGTAGCTCGCGGTATATTGAGCTTAGGGTGACGGGAGGACGCTAGTTTGTGTCCTCCCGTTACCCTTAGGAGAACTATGGGGAAAAGCAGATCCAGACATAATTGTCGGGATCCGTTTCAGCTGCGGCATCTCAGTTGTGCTCTATGCATAACCAGTGGTGAATAGCATACGTTAAATAATTTGAAGAGAAAAAAGTACAGCTTGCCCAGAAGCCCAGCACAACCGCCTCCCTCCATGTATTTACCAAATTTCCTTCTTTATAAAGGCACTAAATTTATCTATCTGGTACAAAGCTTGGTGACGTTTCTAAAATCAATTCATGTCTTTTTGTAAAAGTTGTGCTACAAAGACGATTGAATAAAACTGACAAAACAAACATTTTACATTCATTAAATAAAAAATAAAACGCATAAAGCTAGGGGAAGAAGGAGCAAATAACTAGTTAGGGTTAACCAAGGGCTTATAAAAGGTTGAAGTGTATTTAAGGCCAAAAGGGTTATTTTTTATTGCCTGTCTCCTGCTTGGGAGATTTTCCTTCACTTGCTGTCCTAGAGAGACAACAGCAAACAAGATGAAATGTCTCCAAAGTGAATGGAATTCCTATCTTGTAGAGTTGTCAAAGGAACAGGAGGAATTTCCCTTACCTCTTACTCAGACGACAACTTAAAATGTTTGGATTCCCCCTCACTTTCTTTCTCTTACTGTCTAAAGACAATGGTCATCAGGACAAATAGAAGATCGTATCTCCCCAGCTAGGACATAGACAGCAATAAAAACTTGACAAAGGGTTTAATCCTAATTCTATCCAAATCCAAATAATAACACTTCTGTCCCTCATCCTGTGTGGGAAGAAAAAAACTTTGTAAAGCATTACTCACCCTGTCCAAACTCAAGCACTGCCCTCTGTGCCCTCCTCTAATGGCCTTTGTATCAGTTTGAATGACACTCAGCATCCCCTGGAGATGCATCATCACACAGCCTGGGCTTGCGGCAGAATGCTACACCGGGTAAGTCTTACATGTCACAATGTGAGAACTTCTTCTGTGTAGTACTTAGGGCCGTCCACCTCCAACACTGGAGAAGGTGAAATGGGAACTTGGCTTGTCATGTCACAATGTTGAAGATATTATGAATGATTATGGGAGTTGTAAAAAAGTGAATTGTGCTTTAAATAGGAGGAACATTTTTTTTTCATGACTTCATCCTTCAGGAACTGTCTGTCAAATTTACAGCCCTGCAGATTACATGGCAGAGCCATTATCCTGTTCTGATTTGCAGAGCTCTGTGTTTCAGGAGACACTCTCAGTCCTGTTGGGCTCGGCTGTCAGTTTGCAGGCCAGGTTCTGCTCTGTGTCACAAGAGCCCTGAAGGTTTGTCCTTCAGTTTTAGAGTTTTGCAGAGTCCAACTTTGTGTATCAGGAGCCTATTTCACAGAGTTCCTGAAACACACAGGGAGACTCAGCTGTCAAATTGACAGAACAACCCCACAGATTAAACCCAGACATTTTGACAGTTGGGCTCCACTCTCTGTATGGTACAACTGTTAAAGCCCAGTAAACACTGGCATATGCCCTGGGAACCAGTGCACATGCTTAAAAAACAGTATTATTCCATCTAAAAGTACACACCTGGAATAGGTCTACCCAGGAACGCAAACACTGCCCATCATCATTGGACATTTCCTTTACACAGTGATAGTGGCAGTTTGTTGCTGTATTAAAAAAAAAACACCTGCAAAAGAAGACCTCTTATAGTCACCTGTGTTGTAGCTCTATTACAGAGCTAGAGCAGAATCTTAACATCTGATACTTCTGGGAGTGTCAGATGCCTGTGTTGCCTCCTCACACTGTGTTTCCATCCACCGACCTGTACGTCACTACTGTGTCCTGATGGACAGGTGAGTGGATAGAACTGCAGCATGCAGCAGGAGACCAGGTGTCCAACACACCCGGAAATGTGTCAGATGTATAGATTCTGCTGGAATTGTTACACAAAGCAAAGATCCG